TGAAGGTGGAGGATCTCCGGACGAGAATGCATCGTCCTGGACCGAGGCTGGCGAAGGAGGTTCGCTCTGAGGTGAAGAGCCAGGGGCTCTTCCACCAGAAGCGACAAAAGTGATAGCGAGGGAACACAGGATATGAGACCTGGTTTCCTCTGTCTCTCCAGATACGCGACAACTGTAGTGTTGTCCGTAGCCATACAAACCACATTGGAATGCAGAATATCCCGAAGAGACTGCAGAGCCAACAGAACAGCCCTCATCTCGAGCACATTGATGTGCTCCGAGAGCTGTTCCCTAGACCACTCCCCCGACCGGCAATGCCCGTCGAGATGAGCTTCCCACCCTGTCACGGATGCATCCGTGAACATGGTCATATAGGGAAACGGCTTGGACAAAGAAACCCCTCGGAGAACATTGTCCTGATGAGTCCACCAGCGTGCGAACTCCTTGACCGATTGGTTCAGAGGAAGCCAGGCTTCCCAATCGGTAGGAGTAGGAGTCCTTCAGATCTACTAAAGTCGCCCACATTCCCTCTCTCACGGAGGCGATAATACCCCGAGGAGTGTCCATCTTGAAGTGAGGAGAATTTACGTGCTTGTTGAAGGCACTAAGATCTATTATGGGACGTCACGCCCAGGACTTCTTCTGAACCAGAAACATTCTGTAGTAGAACCCGAGAGTGCATACCGACATAGGAACCTCCTCTACCGCACCCTTGGTAAGAATGGTCCTTACTTCCTGCTGGAGCGCCAGAGCCTTTTCCGGATCCCCCGGTCGAGGAAAACAGATCTTGGCTCTGACGCTAAGGGTGGATCCCAAACTCGTCGTCTGTCACGATCAAGGAGGGTTCTTACCCTTCTTACCCTTCCTTTTGTTGCCCTTGAAGGGAGGCTTATACTTGGGCTGCGCAGAAGACTGCGAAGCCGAAGGTTTAGCTTTCTTCTTAGGAGGCACTGACCCCTGCGAGGTACTGGCCTTCTCAGCCTGAATCCTCTTCACAAGAAGTGCAGAGGCAACCGAGTCATCCTTCAAATCCTTCTGAACAGAAGGAAGGGCCCCTCCAAAAAGAGCCCTGATCAGGGGGCAGTCAACAATCGGGAGCGGTAAGGCTCAAGGACTGGGCGGTTTTTCAAAACTGAAAACCGCCTAGCCAACAAGACATTGACGAGCGATTACACCTGTAAAGCTTTCAGCGCTCTCAATGCCCCGTTCAGGGCAGAGGTCACTCTGTCCTGAATGTCAGCCTGCTTTGTCTCTGTAATCCAACCCTCAGGCAAGTCGGATACCCTATATAGACAAACCGTCAGGTAGTCTATATAAGACAGCCAGAGCTGAAGACACAATAGTACCTTCTGGCAGAGAGCGGTTCGACCGAGCGGACACCCGAGGAGCCACCAAAGAACCCAAAAGGGTGTTGGACTCGGGGACAACATCATCGTCCTCTGCCACACCCACGCCCTCAGCGTACATAGCTTCCACACCATCCAGACCAAAAGCCTCGGGCGGAGGAAATGGGCCAGCCAGAGGGGCCAACTCGAGAGAAGGCTCCCCATAATGGCGTTTAGGTGCAGTGCGCCTAACGACCGTGGCTGTAGGTTTAGGGTTATTAGCCAAATCCTACCCTTGGACCCAGAGACCAACGAGCCTGCCCGAGAGGCAGAAGTCTTTAAGGTCCGACACACCTTCTAAGGACCGGCCGATAAGGCCCCCGAAGTAGCAGAATGCTGGGGGGGGGGGGGGGGGCAAACTGGCCTGCCTGTGACTGGGGCTGGCCACCTTGCCCAACGAGCGAAGGTGGACAGCATTTCCCTCCAGGTGGAAGCTGGCCTCCTGTCCAGCAAAACCAACACCTGGGGGGAAACCCCCAAGGGTCCCAGAAGAATTAATCTCCGGACCGGACCTAATAGGACCGGGTCCGGGTAACTGACCGGGAGAGTAAGCCTGACCAGCATTGGTGACGGGATTAGTGAGCTGCACGTCACTAATCCCGGTGGACACAGACAATCCCGAAAGAGAGTCTGTAGTCACACCAGGACCTGAACCCGAAAGAACAGGCCCGGCACCATGACTGTCCCCAACGACAGCACCACCATGAATGCCGGGATCACTGACAGAGTCAGTAACCGGCGGACGGTAGTCCCTACCCGAAGGCAAGCGCGAAAGCTTTCGGGCGTTCCCGGCCATTTCTATCCTGGCCTGTGCCAAGCCAGGGTCGGGCTGCCCCTCCCCTACTCCAGGGAGTTCCTGAACAGGAGGGGGCCACCCCAGAGACAGTACAACCAGATCACAGAGAGCTGGTGGCACGACCCCTACCTCTCTTGTCCCCTCGCTTACCGGAAGGTGCAGATGCATATCTCTTACGGAGAACCGAGGGTCGTTTGGGAACAACGAAGGCCTTGTCCTGAGATTCAGTCTGTGAACAAAGTTCACAAACCGAAACCTCACTGCAAGGATGACACTGGGGACAAAGCTCCAAAGCGAAAGTAAACGAAGTTTACAAGCAGACAAACACGGGAAAAAAATATAAAATACGATAGTACAAAGTACGCAACGGAGAAAGAATTTCACCCTTAATATAAATCCGAAACGGTTATTATATATAACGTTTGCCGAAACAAACAACTGTCACTAAAATAAACAGAAGTCGGAAATTTTCACACAATAATGGCGGACCGCGTGGCACACCACCGGCACACGTGGAGTAAAATAGCCGGCCGTAAAAGGTACACAAATAATTTTCAACAATAAATAATTATAGTTATAAGGGCAGATGGGTATAAACCAAGCAAACTGCGCAATAAATTGAGTTGACACTCAAACCTAACCGACAAAACTAGGTTTTGATATGGAGCAAGCTCCGGGCCGTCAGCAGGCAGCAGGCGAGTTAAAAAGAAGAGGAAGGGAGATCACTCCGTGGCTCTGTCGTCGAGATATTGGTTACGTCACGGTAGGGAGGTAGGGAGATTTGAATCTTTTGTTTTTGGGCTACAATGATGGGTGTAGGTATTGTATATGCATACTAAAGTTATGGTAATAATTACTGAAATGAAATTACATTTACAGAATAGGACATATAAAGTGGGGAGATCAAGATTTAGATAAATTTCGTAAATTTCGAAATCAAAGTTAAGTGTAATAGTTCAGAAATCGAGATACAATGCATTAAGAATATCTTCACGATCACAAAAACACCATGCATACTATTGTCGTGAATTGTATTTTGCTCTTAAAATGAGCAGCAAAAACCTCACATAATCGTGCTAACAGTCCGCAACCAATGCTCTCTATACACGCTACAAACCTCAAATACCACTAATCTCGTTTGGTAACACGTTTCATGTTACAGAGTAGACGAATACGATTCAAAAATGTATTACCAAGCAATTATATGAAAACATTATATATTCATATCAAGTATTGTACCAGTTGGGTGAGCAGTGTAGTGATAGGGCCAATATTTCAGCAACATTTTTTTTTTTTTTTTTATTATGTTTCATACCTCAGACGAATCAGTCCAATTATGTGATAATTGTTTCTCTGTGAAATCAAAACACATTGCTGTTTGGATTTAATGTTTTCTGGTCAAAAACGTCAGGAGGAGGGAGTTTTTGTAGTGCTTGATTTATAATTATTCATATTGTAAGTATTCAGCAATGATATACAAATCATCCATTTTTCAACTTCTGGCTCTAAGGTCATTCAACGAAGCATATTGACCCATTATATCCTGACACGAATTCTGAAAGAACACAAATCATCGCCTCAAATATCTGAAATATTACATCAGCTGTAGCCTTCAAACGATACATGGCGTTTGTTTGCATCGTCATCAAAGCTCTCTGTTAATATTCTGTATCGTCCGCCTTTCAGATAATCACGCATAGATAGAACCGACCCCCTGTGCCTAAAGTTTATCCTATGTTGCAAGTGCACAGGGTATATTGACAGTTTTGTACCTAACTGTGAAACCCATCATATTGCATCAAAGTATCTTGAAGCCGTAGATATAATGACAGAGGAGAGGCGTTGGAACGATACAGCAAACGAAATAACACTGAACAATGACATGCTGATACAATGCATAATGAACTGTATTACATCCGTTATCAGCAACGAAAGCCGTCCAAATATTCTGTCTAACATGTTAAAGCATGGATAAAAGCCAAAACCGTATACCTTGCAAGGGGTATAAAGACATGTGTAAAGAAAGGTCATCTGGAGTAAATAGAAATTTTGATCTTGATTAACTGTTCAAATTAGATATAAAAAATATATTTTGGCAAATGGTTCGTATTGCGGCCGTGAGCCGGGTTCAAATTAATTGATTTTGATGTTTGTTATATAATACAGCCAGTAGCTTTCACAGTGACCATCACCGTCTAGGGAATTGATGCCAGTGAATTCACAAAGCAAATATAGGAGGCTGATTTTATATAAACCTATCGTGATAAATTGTTTAAAAGCTTTCAAGTTTCAAAAGCAAACATATCGGATTCATGTTATTTGATAGGTATTTTGTAGGATAGGGAATGATCACGACTCGAGTTTCAAAAAGAACTGGCTGCTGGTCGATCTAATTGTCCCGCCTGGTATCATGTTAAGCAGTCGGTTGTATATTCCTACACGTCCACAGCTGGTAAACGCCATTTTCATATGTCATTGATCGCTTCTGATACATAATTGAACAGCGTTACACAATATCACTGTTAAATTGATCAGCAAATATTCACATCCCGGCTTCTAATCATGTGTCAGTGGCCGTATCATAGGTCGTCTCAAACACAAGTTGTGAAACAAACGTGTGGCATATCACAAGGCGACTCAAACACAAGTTGTGAAACAAACGTGTGGCATATTACAAGGCGACTCAAACACAAGTTGTGAAACAAACGTGTGGCATATCACAAGGCGAATCAAACACAAGTTGTGAAACAAACGAGTGGCATATCACAAGGCGACTGAAACACAAGTTGTGAAGCAAACGTGTGGCATATCGCAAGGCGACTCAAACACAAAGTGTGAAACAAACGTGGGGCATATTACAAGGCGACTCAAAAACAAGTTGTGAAACAAACGTGGGGCATATCACAAGGCGACTCAAAAACAAGTTGTGTATACCAGTGTATATCGTGTGGCAGAGTGGAAGAAGTATGTATGGACTCAGGAACATTTCGATAGTTTTCATTGTGTTAACAACGTTGCCATATTTTCTACATTGTCAACATGTCCTAAACAGCTACAACAAAACAAGGTATGTTATCTTGATTTATGTTATATAAATGACGTTGTATTGTGCCTTTTATTTGTGTGGTTTATATCGGCTTACAAATAACAAAAAAGGAATGTTTACACAAAGATGTTAAAGTTAACGTTAAAATTATACCACAGTGACAATTTAGTTCGATATTTGTACCGTTTTGACGTCGTCAAGTCACATTCATATCGCAGTATACCTTATCGGTAAGCACCATAAAATGTTTTCTATGTCAGAGAATCAATGAAATTATCATTGGGTTAAGATGCAACCTGAACCGATAACTGAGATGTAACTTCCAAATGAATTTCATATCAATAATATTTCCCCTCGCTCTACTTATTTATTGACATTTACCTTGTTATACTTAGTATGTCATCAAGTAAAACTACCGCTTTTGTCATATGTCGTTAAGGAATATCATAACTTTAGTTACATATCTACATGAAGACCATCATTTGTATCCATCTATAACAGGGTTTAGACCACTAACACCACCCATTGGAGACCCCTCCTGTTTTACCTGAATACGAGAAAGCATCGCCACTTCCCCAAAATTCAACTTTTCTCGCTGGACGTGAATTCTGAGCTGCTGGTGAATTCAATGCTACAGGACGGAAACCTTTATTATTGATTTTCCTGCCCTTTAAATATTTCCCTGTCACTTAGCCCATCATTATATTAGTTTGTTTCTGAATGGCTGCCAATATCATCGTCATGGTTTGGTACTCTTTGTCAGACACGTGGTCCTTTATTTTATTTATTATTAAGCGTTCGTGTTTACTGTCAGCATTGAATACTCGAAGTAACATTTTAAAATTAGCGTTCCGTGTGACGTTTTTTTTTTCGGCTGAATAAATTGTTCCCGTTAATCACCGGCCACGGCACGTCTCATGGGTGTAACATTTCTTCATGGGTGTTACATTTCTGTACTTGGACCCACATAAGGCGTTTTCTCGGTACCGTTCCTGTTTTAAGGAGTAACTTTGCGATGAAAGGGTGATCTCATCTAGTCTGAACGGATTTTTGCTGGTACCAAGTGTACACAAACTTTGCCTCTTAGAGCTGGCATATGGGTAGAGAATCTTCTTGGTCACCGGTCAAATGTTCAGCTTTTAGCACAGAAACAATTCTTTATGGGATCCAAAATTGATTCTGACTGGACCTTTGTTCTAGCAGAATGAGTCAGTTTGTTTCTGGTTCAGGATGGTGTCTGGAAAAGGTCATTTTCCTCGATTTAAGTGCTTTTAAGAATAACGTTGATGTTCCTCACTACAATATGGAAACTTTACGGATCAATATCGCCTCTTTGTGGAATGGCATATTGACAACTTCGGTCGAGCAAAAAAACGCATTCTACCTTACTTCCATTTCATTTACAACGGCAACGTTTTCTAGTTCCGGGTATGGCACATGGTCTTCACGACTATGCATTCGTGTTAACCAAAATATTTGTTATTGTGGTGAGTTTTCCACCTTTCCGGAGAGTAAACGCTATTGTAACTCAGTGTGGTTAAATCCATTCGGAAATTTGTGGTTGGTTTTGACTTTTTCAGACTTTCTTAGTTAGGTTTCTAGAGCAGGCAAGGTAAAGTTAGACAGTTATTCGTTATTCGTTATTCGCTTTTCGAAATAACGAATAACTGTCCAACTTTACTTTGCTTCCAGAGCACTGTATTTGCTGTTGGCCAAGTCTCTGTTGTCGCCTCTTAGTCTCATTTGCTCGAAACATTTTCAATATGTAGCGACTTATCGATGTTTGTAGTTCCTTAATCAAAGCAGGCTTTTTTTACACACAGGATTACTCGATCATACGGTTTGGACACATTTGATGCACTTCTGTTTGTTCGCTAATAAGTTTTTACTTGAATAAAGTAACCATATAACTGTTGGACTTAGTAAACACACTTTAATCTGCTTCTGATATGCTATACAAAGTACTGTTGGACACGATATATATTTTACCTCTGGTATGTTAAACACTGTACTGTTGGACGTGATGCGGTTTATTTGTCTAAAATTGGTATAATAAGTAATATTATTCTATGTTATGTTGGACAGGGCGTATATTTCACCGCTTTTAATGTTTTACAGACAAGAAGTCCTAAAGGCGCTCTTGAACGAAAGTAGATATGACTCCAAACTATCTCCTGAGTTTGAGGACGGTTAGTACCATTCATTACCGAACAATTTTGCGACACAATAGAAGGCGTTTCATGACGACGGTGTCTTTCAGACTGTGGTCCGTTATTCTCATCTATAAACAATGATGAAGGAAAAACAATGTAGAGGAAAATCATGCATAAAGCTTTTGTTAATTTTATAGTTGACCTGGTTTGGAGTCGAGTAAATAGCCAGTCAGCATCTCGTTGATCGAGCAAAAAGTAAAACGGGAGGACCTTAAAGACTTTTGACCAAAAATGGATCACTCATGATAAAATGCCTATCATTTTGAAAAATTGTCAGCAATTCATGTTTAACAATGATGTAGCCAGATTACCATGCAACATGTTAGTGCAGAGAATGATAATTTACGATCTTAATTAACAAAGGAAGACTTATTTCAAACTAACCAGCTTATATATTTTTACGTTTGTAAAAAGATGATGCATGCGAGGACTGTGTCTTCTTTTTTGGACTATAAAAATAGAAATAATTATATTTATACAAATTCAAAAGATCATTACTAGACGTTTAGATGCCAGTTAAGGTTTGAATATTCCAAGCGTAAGATATTGCAAAATTCAAGTGTAGATAATTTTTGTATACCGGCATTAAAAAACAACAAAAAACAACAAACAACAAAAATCCGGAATCACTTACTATTGTTGCCAGAACGTGCGAAAAATGAAGTCTACGTGTTATTTGCATCTGCACGAACACTTTTTTTTAATATTTTCCCTTTGAAATAACTAAAATTGATTCTCTGAATATTCAATATCTATTTGGGGTACTCTCACCAGCTCTCTTTTAAACGTATGGCCGTTTATTGTGCCTTGGCATTTTAAATGTCATTACGACCAATGATGACGAAAACATCTTTTTTTTCTTTTTGTAATTATTTATTTTCCACTTTTGTTTACATAATATTTATGACATGACAAAAGAATACATTCACATGCATACACACACACATACACACACACATACACACACACATTCAACACACATACACACACACATACACATACACTTTCTTATTGTATTTAATTTTCCTCTTTGTCGCCATCATCTTTTTCTTATCATAATCACGATCATCATTAATATCATCATTATCTTTTCATTAAGATAATCTATATCGTCATAATCTTCGTCTTTATACTCATAATCATCATCATCATCATCATAAAAAAAATCAATTTTTCATCATCATCATTATCACCATCACTATCATCTTTTGAACATTTCATCAATTATCATCATCAAGAACACTATTGTCATAATTTGCAGACAAGCAAAGAAGAATTCTTATTATGTTTACATGTACACACACACATACACACACACACACTATTCTTACATTCACTTTGCACGCCCATACCTACACAAAAAGAAAGAAAACATTGAAAAAGGCAGATTGAGATTGAGAGACAGAAAGATGTGTTCATTATGTATTACAGTCTGTCATATATATGTCTTATACTGTTATACATACAATTATGCATATTAATAAATACATACATTTGAAAAAAGAGAAAAGAAGGAAGGCAGAGAAAAAAAGTCCATGGGATGATGAATTTATAGTCCATGGGATGATGAATGTATATTTCTGTTGGATCATCGTATTTAATCATACCACATTGTATTCGTAAATCAGTTTGCATAAAATAGGAGCAACGAAGTTTGCTATAGCGCGAAATCATTTCAGTACTCTGTCATGTTTTGTCAACACTGTCACTTCATCGATTTCCTATATTTAATGCCAATATTTACCTATACTATGTGCGTATATTATTACAGTCGGCGTAAATTATTCAATGCGTAATATAAATAATTTAATGGAATGGATACTTTATTCAAATACTGCTTTTCCTAAAAATACAGTTTATGGTAATATTTATGATTGAAATGAGATGAATATCTGTCTATTTCAGTTTAACAACGTTACACGAAATTGTGTTATTGTTCGATAGCATTCAGTATCCAAACAAGATTTTTTGAGATGTAAATTTCTTGATGTTTAACCTCATATAAAACATACGCCGATACACAAATATTCAAGGATAAAATGAGGTCTAAAACATGATTCTACAACAAGGTCATGCTCAATATTAGTTATAAAAATAAGAAAGAAGTCGTTTTAAAACAGAGATATATACAAACTCTAAACTTGGTTTATGAATCAGTATCAGAATACCATAAACACTTGCTTATACGTATTTAAATTAACAAATATATATATCTTTTTGACAGATATCCCCACGAATGTGACCATTCAGATTTACATTATGAGTATCAACACACTAACCGAGGTTACCATGGTGAGTACATTTTTAAGTTATACTTATATTAAATACATAGTTACAGTTATGCAATCTAATGTGCTCCCTGGATGAAATATGTATGTGTTTCTAACTAGCTCAACATAGCCTCAATGCAATACACGTGAGTTTATCAAATTATTTAACCTGGTATGCATCCACCGCTTGTACTTACTTACATTTTCTGTCTGCTACGCCATATGTCCAGGACTACACGATGACGATATTCCTGCGCCAGAAGTGGGCGGACAAGCGTCTGGCATACCAGCCAGTCAAGGGTATGACTATGTTGGAGCTTAACAGCCGTATGATAGAGAAGGTCTGGGTACCAGACACCATTTTCTCTAACGAGAAGACAGCAAACTTTCACGAGGTGACAGTCCCGAACCGACTGATGCAACTTTATCCAAATGGAACTGTGTTTTACAGTGTGAGGTAAACGTTTGTTTGAAAACCTATAAAATAAACAAATATAAAGGGAAAGAAAAAACGGGAAATTTGGCTGTTTATCTTCATAATACAACATAAAAGAGGATGATTTTTTTCCGAATTAATTAATTGAAGGTTTGTAAAGACAAAGGACATTATTATCGATAAATCACAAATGCGATTGTTACTGTGGTAGTGCCAACATGGCGACAGTTGGAACATCCACTTATAACATCAACCAAATATAAGGATGTTCCGTTATATTTGAATGACCAATGCACAAACGGAACTGACGTCACAATACCAAAGGATAGCTAATGCATTGTGGATACATTAAGGATGTCGGGAGTATAACATATCTCTCAATAGACTACTTATACATTGTACAAACTAGCACAGTCAACTAACGGGTGTAATTTTGTAGACAAGAATCCTTTAGCATATCATGGTTACATCAATGCACAGAGTTTTCCGTGACTCTGTCTTGTACAGCGTATTTAGGGCGTTGTCTTAATTTTGTAATAATCAAACAATATTAAAAGTGTTATGTCTCTTCGACTCGAAAAGACAAAACATCGAGAATCGAATCTTAATCTCGTACTTTTGGGGAGAAAAGACGAAACAACGAAATGCCATAAATCAGCCACTTTAGTCAAATTATGATAATATTTTATGTGTACACCTTATCAGGGTATCGATGACATTATCCTGTGACATGAAGCTGGTGGCTTATCCTTTGGACTCCCAGCATTGCCTCATCGCCATCGAAAGTTGTAAGTCAGACCATACATATACAGCTCCGATAGGAGATCATTAATATATTGTTGTGTTTAGAAATTAAGGGTACATTTTACAGATATATACCCAGTAAGTGAAACAAAATATTTTGATATGTCCGATTAATATTGCATTGCCAAGCAAACGACATGCATCTTGTCATTCTTATTACATGATACCAAAATGTTTTCGATTGAGTCAAGTCAGGAATATTTTTCCGTCAAGGTTATATTATATTTCTTCTTTGTTTTCGAACATTTCTAAGCTTATCGAATGTTATCTTCATAAAAAAACACATAAATGAATTATTTTTGTGTATTTTCAATTTAATAGATATGTTCCCTGAATTTCTGAAATGGCTTTGTAAAATAACGTGTACTGCTATGAAAATTCTTATATACAAAATTAATCAAAATGATTAAATATATAGGATTAGCACAGTTTATTTTTACTGATGGCATATACAAGAAAGTATAGTCAAATAATTCGAAAAGAAGTAAGAACGATGCTAAGAGATTAATTTTTGATTTTTTTCCCGTTTACAGACAGCTACTCCACGGAGAATGTGGTATTCCAGTGGCACCCTAACGAAGCTATCCGGATGATGTCGGATAGACTCCTCCCTCAATTCTTCTTCTCTGATGACGTAACATTTGAAAGCCACTGTACAAGGACCTACGGTGAAAGTAAATTAGAAAATGCTTTTACTTTTCATATTAACTGTACATCGGGTAACAATAATTGTTATAGATTTAGTTTACCTTTTTTCTTTTAATCATTTATTTGAAAGTTTTTTAAAATTAAAACTGCCCCTTAATTTAATTCGGTTAACTTCATTTCTATGCTTCACATCGATGCATCTATACTTTAAGTACACATATATTGATCAAACAAATATTTATAATGTTCATTTTTCATTCTTTATCAATATCGTTAGTTGGTCTCCTAGTTGTGGATCAGAAGGAGCCCTCTGATAGACTTGAGACACAAGGGATGTATTTACTTATAACTCGATGATGTTGTGGCAATATTGTAGATATTAGTAACTAACCGTGCATATATTGATCAAACAATTTATTTCTAAACAAATCCTCTTCTTATTTGCTATGAGCAGCTCTATAAATAGCAAAATTATCTTCAGCGCATTTTGCATTCTCTCTGACAAGGTGGAACATTTTCCTGTCTAGAGGCCAAACTTCATCTTACCAGGAACAACGGCTATTATATCGCACAGATCTTCATCCCAAGCATCCTCATCGTCGCGCTGTCTTGGGTCTCGTTCTGGGTGGACGCGGAGGCCACGCCTGCTCGAGTCTCATTGGGTGTCCTCACAGTTCTCACCATAACGACGCAGAGTTCCGGTGCACGCTCCGCCCTTCCGCGTGTGTCCTACATCAAAGCAATCGACGTATGGATGTCTACCTGTCTAATATTCGTATTTGCCTCCCTCCTCGAATATGCATGCGTTAACGTTCTGACACGTAAACGTCGCTCCAGAATGATGTCTGCTCTCCAGCTTGAACCAGATGGCATGTTGGTGACTAAGGTAGGTATATATTTAACTACTGAGGTGGAATAAAAACGTTTAATAAAATCACTGTAAATACAAAATCAGTTTAAAACATAACGAATAGAATCGTAACAAGGATCTATACATATATCATAACGTTATACAATGCTGAAGTCATATTCCGTCTTTGCGTATTGCAGAGTTATCTTCTCTTTGGAGCAGGTATTGATTGTTACGTCATTGGGTTGTGAGAGTAACGTCATCAATTTTTTAGAATACGACGTAATTTTCGCACACAAACCAATGACGTAACAATCAATACCTGCTCCCAAGAGAAGATAACTCTGCAATACACAAAGACGGAATACAACTGCATAATAAGTATCCTCTAATGCCGGTGACTACGTCATATTGTCCTATAATATGTGTGGCGAATTGGCACTTTTGGTGTGTGAGCATCAAACATTGTGCTACTTTGTATGCTTTAAATGAAATGTATTTTTGGCTGCGGTGAATGCATCGAAATGATCTGAATGGTTATGGAGAGAGGTGGTGATTGCAATGGCAAGGTTTTGTTGGTGGTGGTGCTGATATGTAGCAGTGAGGGGGTTATTGGAGGTAAACGTAATGCTAAAGCGCGATTGAAGCTGTGTTTTTGAACTGCTGTAAGCTGATTGAATGAGTTCATTATTGCAATGCAAATAATGGCAGTGGCGGTGGCTTAACGCTGGTGCTGGTGGTTGTTATGAAAAAGGTATGTGGCGATGGGGAAACGACAAATGGTGGTGGTTGCAATGTTGTTGTGCTGTGATGGTAAGGATACGTGTGGTTGATTTCTATGTTAAAACATCGTGTCGTAATGATGAGGGCGAGGATGCCTGGATTCTGGGTGGAGGGTGTTGCGCTGCAGTGGGTAGTGGTGATTGCGATATGATGGTGGGTGAGATTTGCTGTGGTTATGGTTGCTGGTTTCTGTTGAATGAGTGGTGCTTTGGTGCTGTTTGCGGTGATTGGTATCAGTGTTGAAGGAGTGGTGCTTTGGTGCTGTTTCCGGTGATTGGTATCAGTGTTGAAGGAGTGGTGTTTTGGTGGTAATGGTGGCTAGTTTCGTGGTGAGCTAGTGATTCTGGGGTGTTGGAGGTGACTGGTTTCAGTGTTGAAGGAGTAGTGTTTTGATGGTGATGGTGTCTAGTTTTATGCTGAAGGGGTGATGCTGTGGTGGCTGATTTCTGTTGTTGAATTGATGGTGCTATGATGATGAGAGTATTAAGTTATGTGGTGAGGGAAGGATACTGTGGTGGTGAGGAGGGCTGGTGTCTGTGTGTTCAGGGAGCTGTGTCGTAGTGGTGAGGATGGCTGGTTTCTCAGTGTTCATAGAGCTGTGGCGTGGTGGTGATGACACACAAGTAGCTGGCTTCTGTGTGTTCAGGGGACTGTGTCGTGGTGGTGAGGATATCTGGTTTCTGTGTGTTCAAGGAGCTGTGTCATGGTGGAGATGGTACCAATGTATCTGGTTTCTGTGGGTTCAGTTCAGGGGGCTGTGTCGTGGTGGTGAGGATGGCTGGTTTCTCAGTGTTCAGGGAGCTGTGTCGTACTGGTGAGGATGGCTGGTTTCTCAGTGTTCATAGAGCTGTGTCGTGGTGGTGATGACACACAAGTAGCTGGCTTCTGTGTGTTCAGGGGACTGTGTCGTGGTGGTGAGGATATCTGGTTTCTGTGTGTTCAAGGAGCTGTGTCATGGTGGAGATGGTACCAATGTATCTGGTTTCTGTGTGTTCAGTTCAGGGGGCTGTGTCGTGGTGGTGAGGATGGCTGGTTTCTCAGTGTTCATGGAGCTGTGTCGTGGTGGTAATGGTACAAATGTAGCTGGTTTCTGTGTGTTTAGGAGGCTGTGTCGTGGTGGTGAGGGTAGCTGTTTTCTGTGCGTTAAATTTCGGGAGCTTTGTCGTAGTGGTGAGGATATCTGGTTTCTGTGTGTTCAGGAGGCTGTGTCGTGGTGGTGAGGGTAGCTGTTTTCTGTGCGTTAAATTTCGGGAGCTTTGTCGTAGTGGTGAGGGTAGCTGGTTTATGTGTGTTCAGGGACCTGTGTCGTGGTGGTGAGGGTATTTGGGTTCTGTGCGTTAAGTTAAGGGAGCTTTGTTGTTCTGGTAAGGTTGGCTGGTTTCTGTGTTCCGGGAGCTATGTCGTGGTAGTGAGGGTAGCTGGTTTCTGTGCGTTAAGTTTAGGGAGTTTGTCGTAGTGGTGAGTGTAGCCGAGATCTGTGTGTTCAGGGACCTGTGTCGTGGTGGTGAAAGTAGTTCGGTTCTGTGTGTTCAGGGACCTGTGTCGAGGTGGTGAGGGTAGCTGGTTTATGTGTGTTCAGGGAGCTGTGTAATGGTAGTGAGGGTAGCTGGTTTATGTGTTTTCAGGGAGCTGTGTAATGGTAGTGAGGGTAGCTGGTTTCTATGCATTAAGTTCAGGGAGCTTTGTCGTGGTGGTGAGGGTAGCTGGTTTCTGTGTGTTCAGGGACCTGTGTCGTGGTGGTGAGGGTCGCTGGTTTTTGTGTGTTCAGGGACCTGTGTCGTAGTGGTGAGGGTAGCTGGTTTCTGTGTGTTCAGGAAGCTATGTCGTGATGGTGAGGGTAGCTGGTTTCTGTGTGTTCAGGAAGCTATGTCGTGATGGCGAGGGTAGCTGGTTTCTGTGCGTTCAGGGAGCTATGTCGTGATGGTGAGGGTAGCTGGTTTCTGTGTGTTCAGGAAGCTATGTCGTGATGGTGAGGGTAGTTTTACCATAAGCGTGACGATTGACATTGACATTCCAGCTTCACCCATGGTAACACTATTGATACAATATTCAAGGTTTCCTCTTATTGTCGTGAATAACCGTTATTGATGTAGACCACTAACGGACGCTATTTCAACACATGGTTTGGTAAAATGTGAATTTGTGAAAACAATTGGCAGATTTTAAGGTTGCGTTCAATCTCATGTCGGGAAATCTAATGCACCCCTGTTGAACACAATGTACGATGTTTTCTACAATGCTCTTTAGTATCTGTGTGCTTCCGTACTTTGACCAAGTAGCAGAAGACGCTAACACTAAGGACAAATCTGTACAGGTCCTTTCTATGCCTTTCTTTGTTCATATTCTCCCATAATTCTATCGATTTTGAGTTTGAACTGCGGTTTTGTTCACATTTTAGAAATCTTTAGTATTTTACACATACACACACACACAAACATGTATGTATAAGATATTATGATTTACAGTAACTGTTTAAGCGGTGGTGGTCAATGCCAAATTGGTAACCTTTTGTTTTTGCTAAGGGGTTAGTGAATGTTTCTAAGCAGGACTGATAACTTAAGAACTAGGAAACATAGCACTGTAACAAACCTTGTTCACACCGTTAATTTTTGAACTAGTGCCTCGCTTTTCAGAAAATTGGGGTTTAGTTATTAATGCTTAAGAGCTTTTTATATCGCTTCAGAGTCTTCCTGCAACGAACATCCGGAAGTCGGGTATGGTGGTATTCGGCCATTCTAAAAAAGCAAAGATGGTAGATAAAATATCACGAGTTACCTTCCCTGCCACGTTCGTAATATTCAATGTGGGATTTTGGACCTATTTCAAACTTCACAATCCAGGCTAAGACGTAAGCAAGGACAACTAACGATTTACCTTTTTTTATTATGATATACCTGCGTCAACCATTGTGCGGTTGATAAGTTTGGTATCGCTGCATAACTGTGTGTACTTTGGGAAAGAGAGCTGATAAGTTGTTACGGCCTGCCCAGCTCCATTAGACTTTAAACAATAGAACATGATTTGACTGCATTTAACTCGCCTTAAATTCAAGCAATCCATAAGATTTTTGGCTTGGCAGATAGCTATATGCAAGCACAACTATGGACGTATTATGACGGGCCAACTGGAATTGATGCGGAAAGAAACTAAACGTGAAACCTTGTTTATCAACTTAACTTAAACAATTGTTAACTTTATGCCTTGACCTTTTGTAAATGTAGTAGATTGTTTACGAAATATATCCATCGGAACGGTATCACCTTCCAGACCACGAGAACTCTTGTTTCTCCAAAGAGTAATACCAACTTCGCGCGTCTACGCCAATAAGAGTACTTAGTGGAAGTTGATGAAACATGTATTGCAATTGTTTTAAAAGAAATAAAGTGGTAAAATGGTTCAACGTACAATTACTTACAAAGTCTATGCATGTTTTGGAATTTCATTATTGTATGTAAACATCATTTAAATATGATAACATTGATTGTATATATTTTAAGCATAGTAGATATTTGATTCATTATTTCCCTCGTTGGTTTTGATAACACATTTGGTAATTCGAGTGAGTGAGATGTTTACCTGTATCCATTACTTGTATATAGTTGTCTTTCTTACTTATATAAATGAGCATATATGATTGTTTTGTCCTTTACCTTTTATTAAAGTAACAATCATCAGTGTCAAAAACCTGATATGTAATACAAAATAAAAACAACTTATAAAAAACTAATTGGTTGTTTATGATGTTTCATTGCTATGAGTGTTAGACCCGTTCATTGTTATAATTATCTATCGTTAAATGGATTTTTACAAGGATTAACATTTCGACATTTCTAACACAAACCGCACCCTCTCATTTCAAATTATAAATATTGACATGAATATGACAGGACCGTTGCTAAATTTCCTGTCTATATGTAGACGTTTGACAAAACAAAGTGGTGATAAAATATGAAATGATCATGAAAACGTTATTCATGCGTATTGCAGTGCAAACAGAACATCCTGTATTAGTTACTCCTCAAAATGGGAAACAGTTCTTCCCTGTGATATATCGCTATGCTTTAGGTATATTCTAGACAATATGTATTTTCGCTCGTTTTAACTTTAATGCCAGTGGTGAGTTCCTAGTGGACAGAATAGCATTGTATACAATTAAATGTTTTCTTCAATTTGATTTCTGTATCGACAAACTATTTTGAAATTTTAGCGTCCTTTCTTTATACTTCTATTCGGTGATTGTTTTAACGGATGTCTCTGATGCCGCAAACAAAACCGATTTTCGTGAATTGAGTGGTGATAGTATGAAAAAAAAATGACAATATGAATATGATTTTTACTGGTTCATATAGGTATGATATAGCAATATTTCAAAAGACAATATTTCCTCATGAAGAAGAAACTTGGATTGAAATCACTCGGTACGAGTTTTATATATATATGATTTAAGAATCATGTCTTAAGGAAACCCGTACCACTACTAAGAAACTATTACTTGGTACCGGAAACTGGCAGGACTATAGCTTTGATAAATCATTTCTGAAAAGAAAACAGTTCTTTGCGGGACTTTCATGCTAAATTATATAACGATAAAATAAACAAACTTTGTCATACTGCAAAGAAAAATGTCGCACGGTGATTGGTCGA